GATACGCTAAAGAAGAATTACATCCTCTTTAAAAACTAAATCTTTGGAAAACGACGATGACCGAAACATATTTTCCTTCGATTCGCTGCCCTCAACTGATAAAGTCGGCTATAATTCTACGGGGTGGAAAGGTAGCGGAAAATAGTCAGATAACCGTCACGACTTTACAATAATTTTACACTGGCGGGACCGTTTATGGATCATTTAAGGAACTCTCAGGAGGTAAGAGGATAAGAGGGGTCCGCTATTGGAAGGAGTACAGGATATTTCGGGGTGTGTTTTTTATTGAAATGAGCGCATCTGGCGTCCAACGAGGGGTTGGACAGCTGAGCACGCACTTTTTCCTCCTGGCCGCCTCTACCACCCCTATGAGGGCCAACCTGCCTGTTTCAGGCGAGAATGGAGCTTCTCGAGACCCTAAGATTGGACCATGGAAATAAAACCTCTTATGAAAATTCGAACACCGGGCCCAGGTTTTTCTTTCAAAATTTATTGGATCGCTCGCAGACCGCTGACCGCGCTGACCTTACTTCGCTTTCCCCGCGCCACGGTGGTTCTGTTCAATAGTCGGGACCCTAAAAACACGTAACCTCCGTTTTATCGATGGTAAAAAGTAAACGTCGGGTCATGTCGATACCCTCAAATGACGATATTCCATAGCGCATAAAGCGAACTATTTTCAACTGCATAAAATGACGTGTTTCACAAGGTGTGAAGTATATTCGGGTTTAGTAATAGTCTGAAGAAGAACTGGTAACACGATGTGTGTCGCGGATGATCTATTTAATAACTTCGAAGTGGATAAAAGTTTAAGATATTTTTACGAACGAGATATGCATTCACGTTGATGACATTTATTGTAGCCGAAGGTGGTAATTAATCTGAAGCATCAAAGAACTGATTAGTCGACCAGATTTTGTATGCAAGATTGTGACCCATATATATTTATAAAGAAAAATTTAGCAAAACTATTTTGAAGATTCACAATAACACAAGTTATAATAATTTATTTAAAAAATTCAGGTGAATTGAATAAGAAACGAGAAGAAATTTTTGCAATGCCTAAATCTGTATTGTAACATCGTTTATAATATGTATTAAGATTCTTAGAGGATCTGATTTACTGAAGTTTACTTTGTTCATAAATGTTCTAATAATTATAAACGGGGGTGTATATGTATATGTATGTTCAACCTGTTAGCGAACACTATGAAGTTATTTAACGCTGCTGGAATTTATGAAACAATGTAATTTTATTTGGCACATACAAGGGTGTACGGTCGAAGGCGTATTTTACACGGTGTCAGTCATATTATAAATTCATGCGATATTTCGCATACATCATATCGTCGGGTGCATACCGTCGACTCTATTTCCAACGAAAAGTGACTGAAGTACGTGGGCTCGACGTGAACAACCCTGTCATAACTTTTTAATACCTCTTAAAGGAAGACGACTTTGTAATATCCTGCAGGATATTAGGGCATGCTTTAAAAGACGAATAATATCGGAACGGTGAATACCATTCTCTCTGGCTTGGTCCTTGCGTTCGGACGCTGTATGCGCGCTCAGTAGACTCCAACAGGAAGTAGTTAAATGTTACCGGTGTCAGAGCACGGCCTTTGTACCAAGGAGAGGGTGCTCAGGCTCCGTGGAGTTAGCTGACTGACAGAGTACTATAAATTACATAAATGAAGTAAGCCCCTTCCTCACTCAAACGGACATCTTGCCAAGTTTATAACTTAATCACTCGTGCTTTTCATGCCGGCGGAGGAGCTTAAAGTTCAAGGGACCAGTAGTGTAAGTTGCAGACGAAAGTGATGCCGGAGGGTAGGATCACGTGGAGAAGGAACGATATTCGAAGGAAAAGAAAATGAATTGGAAAGAGCATTTGATTGAAAAGAAGAAGTGAATAACTTCGGAGATTTAGCTCGGAGGTATAACATATTCGTATGATTGTCCCGTTTTGGTTAAGGATTTGTTAATTTTACATCGTGTGCAATATTACATGTAGTATTGGTTGTAATATTGTATGTGGTGTATCCATCAATTCGAATATAGAGCATTAAATTTGATATAATATCATTTTAGTACTTCATAGATATCGCTACACGTCTTGCTTGTAGGTCAATTAATCTTATATTATTTATGATACTAAATGTAACATGTACTTTACCTTGAATATACTCTATTAAGTTTAAAAATGCGATTAAAGTGGATGGTTGTAAAATCAATGAATTATAAAGAGATAGATTTTAGGACTATCTGTTGTTGATGGTACTAAAGGAGCAAATCGTGCGGATAAGTTGTTAGAAGCAATTTGTTAAATGACTACGTAGAGGCGAAACGTAAAAGGATTTTTGAGATGTTTATTATTTGCACACTAGGCATTAAAATTACAATTCATGCAAAATGGCCATTACCACGTTAGACGAACGCGAGAATAAAGAGACGCGACATTCTTTGCAATATTTTATTTCATCTTATTTGCCATTAGCTCGTACTCTATACGAATAACACATTTATAAATTTAACTACTTCATATTCCCTTTATCCTTCGCGAAACTACTCTCCAAAGAAAATCAAATAATTTCCGTCCGAAGTTTCCCATGCATTAGCATTTCGACCAGCAGCTGAATAAAAGTAATATTGTATATTACTCTCACTACCAGACGAACTTTAATCTTTTCAGTTCATGACTCGATCTTTGTATCATAACCCGGCGGTAGATAAATAAGGACATAACATTAAAATCGATTGACGTTAATTACTCAAACAAACTGCGGAATTGATGGCACGTTGCGTTTGTGCCTGCAGTCGTCCGCGCATGCTTGCGAACGAACGTTCCAATGTAATTTAATTCAGCGCGGCCCCGTTCTATTTCCGGTGTAAAATTTAAGAGAGAGGAGAGGACGCTCGAAGAATCGCGAGCTGTCGGTTCGCATTCGACTCTGGTATCCATCGGCTGTGTTTAATTACGAGTCACCCGGCGTAGTTTCGCCTCTTCTGGCAGACTGCTTCAGCACGGAAGCACTAACTCCTGGTTATCTTAAGCGACATCGCGCACTGGATTCGTATAACTCGCGCCCGCCGGATAACTTGAGCCTGAATTACTACGCTTCTCGCGTAAGGATGAGAGCCGAAGAAGCAGAAGACGAGGAAAGGGTGAAGAGAAAGTCAGCGACGCGAAGGGGCGAGATTAAAATCACCTGGAGACCAATGCAAAGTTTTTAATAACCCTTGATGCTTGATTAAGTTATGGCTCTTCGCCGGCTCATCGTTCTCCCTCGTTTCTTCTCCAGCACGCACCCTACGTTTCGTTATCCTTTCTTCAATTCCTCCTTTCCTCTCTCTCTCTCTCTCTTTCTCGCTCTCGCTCTGTGTCTCTGTCTCTTTCTCTTCCCCTCTCTTTCTCCTTTCCAGTTCGTTCTCCAGCGAAATAAATTTTGAGCAGAAGTGCTTAGACCGCGTTCGAGTGGAACGGGTACCTCGGCGAGAAAGAGGTTGGAAAGGAAACAAAACTCGTCCGACTCTGCTGAATTAATGGAAGATCCGACGGGATAGTTATCTTCGTGCCACCATTTACACGTAGCAGCTACATGAACTCGGGATGGTTTTTAAGTATGGCAAATTACATCGAATAGAAGGCATTCATCGAAATCGTGCCACATATTTAAAGCGTCGGGTATAATTTGCATCTGATCTGATAGTTCTTCAGAAGAATTCTCTTTGCATTGAAAACGTACGAATTCTTGTAGATGGTTTCATGGATCTTGTTATTTCTATCGATAAGAAACATCGAGTTAACCATAAACAATGTCGCGAGAGCCGAGGCGCCGTCCGGTTCATCAATGTGACGTCGGTCTTTCAATTGAATAGTTTCGTAGAAAGGATTTACGTGACCCTGGCAACGAGCATCTGCGAAACACGTGCGTGATGGGCCTAAGAAAAGACAAAGGGATGCTAGAACGGTCACAGTGTGAGTTGAGAAGTCAGAGAGAGTCAGTGGGGAAGCCGCAGAGTGTGAGTGGAGGAGCCGGAGAGTATGAATCGGGAAGTTGAGAGCCGAATATGATAATAAGACGTACGACGATATTGTAAACAGTTTTTTGTATTGAGTATTGCTTGTTAAACTAAACTTAACTCCAAATAAAACATCATTACTTGTCCTTACTCTAAGACCCATTTAAGTTACTACATATATAATATATATATAATACGTATGTAATAAATATATAATATATATATATATTTCACATAACTATATATATATATATATATATATATATATATACAGGGTGGTTGCTAACTGGTGGTACGAGCGGAAAGGGGGTGATTCTACGCGGAAAAAATGTCGAAAATATAGAATAAAAATTTTTTTGAGGCTTTGTTTTCGAGAAAATTTGAAATTTCGCTCGGTACGCGTGCGGTACGTTATAACAGATCTAACTGTAGATTGTTGTCTCGATGGAAAAATTAAAAAAAAAAATTAAAAAAAAAATTGTTATTCTATATTTTCGACTTCTTTTTTCGCGCACAATCACCCCCTTTCCGCTTGTACCATCAGTTACCAACCACCCTGTATTACTCTTTTAGTTATCGTTGCGAAAGTCATTACATCATTGCGGAAAAGAATATAACATGACGTAGGAATTTAAAAATAAAATTGTAAAATCAATCAATTTGACTGGTAGTTCTAGTGTTAAATGCATGAACTCCCAACATGTTCTCATTCGTCTTTTCACTAATTACGTTTGATTAATTACATTTAGTTATTACGGGGGATAGGAATTATTGTTAAAATCTTTGTAGTCATCTTCACTGACACCTTCGGTTATGTGAAATGAGATATAGCAGGTTCAAAAAGATTAATTTCTAATGAAACAAAAGAATTTACCGAAACTGTTATTCAATTAACTTTACATTGCTATATTGTACACTTCATAGCGAAGCATCTTTCATTTTCGATAATTAAACGACACCTGTTCTTTCTGTTCCAGGCTTTGGCTTCGTCACGTTTCAAAGCGAGGACGTGGTCGACAAAGTCTGTGAGATCCATTTCCACGAAATCAACAACAAAATGGTGAGTTGCCTGGTAGGCCAGCAAAGCCTGTTTATCGAACGAAGAGGGCACCCATTCTCGATCGTTTCTCTCCCTCTCCTACATCCCCACCACGTGACCGTAGAAGTGGTATCAAATGATATTTGCCTTCCGTTCTTCATCTACGGATACGGCGTCGAGCGGAATTAATTTTCTGTATAATTGAGAAGCATTGCCGTGCTTATTTGCATTTGACACGCACGCGACACACACATGTCCGCACGCAACGACGACAACGGTTGAGCGTGTGAATCTTACGCTGGAAGACGAAAAGCGGTTTCTCGAAAGCCTGTCATAGTAGAGATCACATAGGTCTCTCGGTAATAGACAGTTCTATTTGTCGTCTACTACCAGCGAAATCCCGCTGACGTGGATCAAGGATTTAACCAGATGCCACTTCTCGTTATCCATAAATCCATACGGCCTAGACGATCCCCAATTTCGTCAATAACTCGGCAACACCATTGTCAGATGTTAGCTCGGTATAAAACAGTCGTCTATTTGCACTGATAATATTAGAGCGATAGATCACGCTGATTAGCTGGTCCCGGATTACCCTTGATTACGGGCATCAAAACACATAATCAGACACACGTTCGTAACGAGGATATAACGAGGCCGAACAAATTATCGTAACTTCGTTTGTTACTTGAATAGAAGATCGAACGACTATCATGGGAATTTGTGTTCCATATTCGCCAAAGCACCTCCTTTACAGACGAATGAAATTACTAATAAAATTTCTATATCCAGCATATTCTAATGTCCATAGCTTATCTTGTAGCTTTCCATTAAAATTTTCATTAAAGCTTACTCGATTGTGGTCGATTGATTATTTAAAATTGACTTTTCCTCTTGTTGTATCTGGAATGAACTCCTAAAAGTTCTTAATAAAATCTCTCTCGCCTGAAGTATGGATTTAGACATAACTTTAGAAGGAAATCTTAATCCCTTATCTTAACAGAGATCATATTCTTATTATTAGTATTGCAGACTACAGTTAACAAATAGAGAATCGGATCCATGATACATGCATTGAACGAACGGTATAATAATTCTATCAAATAAAATCATAAGGCAAGGAATTAATCATCACTTCCTCTTTTTTTTTTTTTTTGCACATGGAGAAATCCTCATGGACACTCCACTGCTGCTAAAAATCGGCAACAGCAGAGTAGTGTCGGACTCTTACCGACTAAAACTCCACGATGACCATCCTACGTGTGTGACAGGAGTGCTCCAGGGACCTCTTACAAATTGTCTTTCCGTTGCACCTCCTCCCGCCTCCTCTTGTTCGAGCCAGTCCTAAAAATTCTCTGACTGTTGAATTTGGCACTAGGAGGGCGCATTGCCCCTAGCGCCATCCCCCTTCTAGTCGCGGTCCGTTGAGACAGCGATAAAGCGGCTCTAGGCCGCCTGATCGCCATCCCCCACCATCGCATTATCCTACAAGGGTAATCATCACTTTTTGTAATTCTCGTAACCTCCGCTACTAATCTTCTAACGAAGCTTCACCCCAAAATCTTGGGATCGCTCTCATCGGGTGCACGAGACACAACTAATATTGAATTTTTATGTTGAATTTGAAGGTCGAATGCAAGAAAGCACAGCCGAAGGAAGTGATGCTCCCAGCGAACCTGGCGAAGACGCGAGCGGCCAACAGAGGCGCATACGGTGAGTTGGTGATGGTCGCGACACCTACCCCCACCACCTATCGTTACGCGCCGTATCCCCTTCCGACGGCTGCTGCCGCGGCTGCACATGCAGCTGCAGCAGCGTCCGCTAGCACCCCACACCACCACTTGCTCACTCCGATAGTCGCTACCGCCGCACCAAACGCGGCCGCTACCTACCAATACGCTGCCGGTGCGACCGCACCTGC